CCCTCCGCGGCTCACTAGCCCAATGGGTTAGAACTCGCCTTGCTTAGCTACTCTCAATCGATTAATTGTGAAACTTGGTTGTATTTAGGTATTTAAAATAATTAATAAATATTGTTTCTAGAAAAATTACATTACGCTATATCTCGGTCGAAAAACGGTTGGAGCATATACCCTTTGTAACACTTTTCGTTCTATAACTATTTGTTTTTGTATCGTTTTTTGTTCATGGTAATATTTCCTTTTTTTGTGATGTTTTTTGTTGTCTTGTACGTAACTGCAGTCCCCAAAATCTATGATACCTTACTGCTACTCCGCATGACGCCATACCCCCCCCTCTGAAGAATCTCCGCGCTCCGTTTACCCTCGCCGCCGAGTATCCCCCGCGCCCCGCGCTCCCCTCAGAGGACCTGAGTTAGAACCCGCTCAGTATACTTACTGTGAGAGAATACTTCTTGATGGGTCGCCATGCGGACGTCGACTGCTTCTATCTCTGTCAGACGTACGCGAGGATACCTAAACATTTGATACGCGACAACGCGAAACTGCTGATCCTGTTCAAACAAGATGGTATCAACTTGAAACACGTTTACAACGATCACGTGAATACCGACATGTCGTACGATGAATTTTGCTTGTTGTGTCGCGACTGTTGGCGACAAAAGTATGGATTCCTAGTGATAGGATAGTGCGCTTAAAGATGGGAGATACAGAAAAGGATTTAACGAGTTCGCGATACCGTAACTCGATTAGTCGTTGTCGATACTTCGCCAGAGACGAACATGGCTGATGTGCGCGAGCGTGAAAAAATTATGAAGGAGATCGAGAGGACGAGCGAGTCGATCCGCAAGAAACATCGCGCTCTGAAGACCGGTAGAATCGAGGAGAGCATGACGTTGGATAAGCATTTTAAACCTATTATCAAACCGCTGCGACAGATCGTTGACAGTCCTGGCGTGCGCGCGATGAAGAGAGAGTCGTGCGACAATGACGCAACGTCTACCCCCAAGCGCGAGAGGAAGGAGGAGGAGGAGGGAGGGGAGGAAGAGGAGGAAGCGAGCGAAACGTTCGAGCGTTCCGCGACTCTGCGTAAATCCGATGATCGGTCGCACGATCATGTACAACCGATAACCTCCACCCCGCGTACGACGATCGTACCACCGATAGAGTCATTCGTGAACGTTTTCGAAACGACTAACGACTCATTCACAACGAAGGTTCAACATCGTTGCAAATGTCGGAAGGTCGAGAGGCGTTGCGAGCCAGCTTGGGCCCCCTGGGACGAAAATACGTCGAGGCTGTCATGAGCGGAGCGCGAGGAAATGGGACGGTATAGATCGCGTTTATCTACACAAGGACGGACTGATGTTTGGCAATAAACGTTTCGACGTGGATGACGCGGACAGCATAATTATCGACGGCGTACGATACGCCGGTACACCTGGTCTTTACGAGTTGATTTTCAAGAGAATTCCCGACGATCTCCTCTACACGGAAGACAATATGCACAAGTACAAGAGCATACTGCTGGCGACGAACGCGCATAGACACAAGTACCATTCGCAGGGTCGAGTATTGGCTAACAGGGGATACAAGTAACACGTAATCGCGCCGTTGATGTCGATCACACCCAAGAAACAAAAGAAATCTGAAAAGGGATTACCTCACGCAATGACATTGAATGACAACGCGATCGATTACATGCACTGGGACGATCCCAACGAGCTGGTGGATCGTCTATGGTTGCTCGACGCTTCGCACCGAACGGGCAACAACGCTCACGACAACGAGATACTATCGATCCTCGAGGAACTTCGCGAAGCCGGTCTTATAAATTAAATCGCGTATCGACGAAACGAGTGGTGTCAGTGAGAAACAATACTTTTTTTTTTCATGTATCCTGTGTATTACGAATCGAATCATGAACAAGAGATCGGTGAGGAGAAAAAAGTTAGCTCCGAGAGACGTCGTCTCGTCGAGGAATTGTACGCTCCGGCGAGAAGAAATTTTCCGCGAAGGCGCGTCATAGTCCGGGGATACGACGATCTGTGACAGGCTGATATCGTCGAGATGCGTCCGTACTCGAGCTACAACAGAGGCCGTCACTACATACTCACCGTCATCGATGTGTTGAGCAAGTATGCGTGGGCCGCACCACTCAAGAGCAAGAGCGGAAGCGAGACGACTGACGCTATCGCTGAGATAATTCGAGAGAGTGGAAGATGTCCGAAAAATTTG